TCCCCTTCCCTGGCGTCACAAAGCTTTAAGCTCGCCAGTGAGACGAGATACGATCGAACACCAGGAGATGGTAATCGAGTTCCATGTTTCGCACCTTCCGGATGCGTAGCCGACTTCTCGTGAATTAAGCTACAAGTCAGGGAAGATGGGCATCTCCAGTCACAACAGAAGTTCAGGCTGCCTCTACGCTCTGGAGGAACTGCTTCTACAAAAACGCTGCCATCTGAGGCCACTTCTCAGCAAGCTGTGCCAAGCCAAGAACAAAGGATTGGACAATTGACAACAAAGCCTAGGCTCCTCTCGCAGTCCAGCGAGATAGAACATGCTGTTTTTGAGGCGAAGGCTACACTTGATCTCGCCCGTCTTTACCTCAACATAATACCATGCCTGCTACAAACTGTGTTTTTTCCTGAAACTCCACCTGGGCCAGACTATGAGCCAGAGAATCTACAGGATTGTGACAGATCCACGATGTGTGAATAATCCACGCCGGGAACCTTTCAATCCCCTCTCCCAGTCTCCCTCTTTGAGAAACTCCAAAGGCGGCGTGGATTCCCTTTCATGCCTCGAGCGTATCTTTGTGGAACTCGGTCACCACGCTGGCCTTGTTAGCCTGTGGAGATTATGTACCCGCCTACCCCGAACCCCAGGATGAGTTTCTGTCCCACGGATGCCGGTGAGGTCAGTTCTGTTTCTTGGAATCGGCGTGTTACTGTGTGGCTGTCTATGTTGGGGAGCGTTATGCTGGAAAGTTGAATGTAAATAATCTCTTTGACGAAGGGGCCTGCAAAAACACGAGAAAACCACGCGTGACTGCCAAAATCCGAGCACAAGGCGTGCTTATCGCGTCCTGAAATACAGCAGGTGTTAAGTCAACAAGCGGCGCCTGGATCATGGTGCTGACCTATCTTGACCTTGCCAGGCAGCGGAACATGCTGGTTGAACACCTTCACAGCTGAAAGCGCACAGGACTACTTGAGTTGCATGATGCCTGTTTTTTCAGAAGGATCATGTAATGTGGAGACCTGAGCGGCACTTACCCAAGGATCCAGTCTGCCTTGCGGGGGGCGTTTTTTTTGAGTTTGGAGCTCCAGCTGGGTAGCTCCTTGTTGAACCAGGTAAGATGATATTCTTCTCAAAAGATACAGTAGCGAAGGAGGATACAATCTGACTCTGTAGTGATGACCATAGTATCCTGAATGAACTGCGACCCATCTTGGAATTTTGGCTGTGGTAGCCACTTGCACCTATTCAGATCTGAGTGTCTGACCGCCGTGCCCAAGACAGAGTGAAACTCAGCATGCAACTGCTATGAACATTGCATAATTGGCTATTTGGGGTTTCTCAGTCCATGGTTGGAATCCACGAGTTTTCATGATTCAGGAAGTTTGTTGAGAGGCCATGGCTATAGCAAGGATCACAAGCAACGGGAATCTTGCTGTGACAGTCCAGCACCCGCATTTTTACTCCAGTCATCCTGTTGCTCCAAGTTTAAGATGATTGTGTTTCATCGCAGTGTGCGAAAGTATCTGAAGAGTTGACGAGCTTGCTGAATGCAGCTTTTGTACTCAGACTTTGCTGAGCTCCACGGCGCGTGTGGCCGTTACATGGGGGTTGTTGCCCACCTCTCGTCTTGAGCCGATCAGTTGGTCCGGGGTCCAGGCTTGTTCCAAGGGAGCATAACGGGAACCCGACATAGTTCTTATTAGGCACACCGAGTGTGATCTGGAAGGAGCATGCTTGATCAAATCTTGAGGAGGCCAAGCGCATAAAATCAGACAGTAGCTATCAACTTTTTGCTGGGATTGAAGTCCACACTTAAAACAACATGGAATAGCGCAAGCTTTCTGGCTGCTCGCACTGCTGAAGTAACACGTTTTTTTCAGTGGAGCAAATCCCCGTAGTATGATAGGTTCAAATGCGTGTATGTGGGTTCTGTTTGTGGTTTGCGCGTTGGTTCTTTGCTCTGTGGTTCAGAGGCCTCTGTGATGGACTGTTTAGAAGCTCGGACACCAAAAAGGAATCTCCATGTTCAGTCCCAGCTTCGTCCAGGAACACCCCCGAGCCTTTACAAGGCCTCTCACATCCTCCCAGGATCTCCTTAAATGCATCTCCCGCTTCAAGCTTCTTGGAAAAGGTCTGCGTGAGGTCCCCAAGCATGTAGTGCTGTGTGGCTGTGGCATCAGCCGGATTTTGTACAAGGCAGCTGCCGCAGATCTCAGTGTCGGAGTGGCGCAGCATCTGGATTTTTGCCAGGATCCCATATTACTCAGAGGCTGTGAATCATTCATGAAGATAGACGAAGTCTGAGGTCAAACGCCTACAACATCTTACTTGCCTCTTGCTGATGAGAAATAGCTCCCTCGTCTTCTTCGTACAAATACTTTGAAAGTCCAAATTATCTCCTCCATAGTCGCCGCATAAACCCCATGTTGATCCCATAGCCCACTCGCTCATTCCCTACTAGGCAGAAGCAAGTTTTAGGGACCCTGGTTCACACGCAGTGCGGACGTGCACTGCCGCCGGTTCACGGTCGGATGTTAAGCGGGGCGTGATCCATGTGATGCAGCTACTTACTGGTGCTTAGTGACTTAGTGGTAGGGCAGCAAGAATGACCGCACAATGCATGGTGATCATAGAGATTCAATCCTCCACCTGCAGGGCCAGCAACCCAAACGGTCAAAGTCTAACCGCTTGACTTCTCATCTTAGCAGGGCGGAGTTTGCAAGTTTGGACCAAAGCACGAACACCCACTACTTTTCTCGCGTGATAGGTCTTTTCTCGTGTGTTTATGCCTATCTCACCATGGAAAGCACGTCAAGCAACTTCACACAGGCGAAGAACAACGCCTCCGTTTAGCGAGTGCTATTCAGTCACGGTTGCACCCATTCCCAGGTTAATCCCGTATTCCTAGACAAGCCTCCAAAACCCTGTGGATATCTGTGAATTATGACCTTTCCAACCCTCTTTTGTAGGCAAGTAACAAGTATAGGGAAGGTCATCCTTCCTTCCAGTTTGGGGCCCTTGGGATTTTGAAGCTGCCAGGTTCGGAGGCCCCGGAAACATCCGGTCGGCCCTGCATGATGGCTACACGGCCAAAGTATAGCTAACACGCATATCGGGAACCAGAGGGCACAAAGACAGGTTACCAGGCCAAGACGAATATTCATCGGCTTTGTTGTCTGCTGCTTCACAGCAATAATTGCAACACTTAGGCAACCAGGTATGACTGTAATGTCTGGAATCCTAGGTTTCAGTTCCCGGACAGTGGAAGACCTTACCAGGCCGCTTTCCAGGTCACCCAGCTGAGTCGCTATGAGCATGCTATGTGTGAAGCGGACTCGCAGTCCTTTTTGGGCTGTTAGACTCCAAGATTCGTCTGAATCTTCATTCCATGACAGATGCTATGCAATCATGATGAGCTTTTCCAATCGCATTCTTCAGCTCTTGAAGTTGTGTGTGTTAGCGTGCCACTAGCTTGAGGCTTGGGGTGTCAAGGCGCGCGTGCCTTGAACAGGGTTGGCGAACACGGTTTAGATTCTGAGTTTTAGTCATTGGGTATCACCCTACTGTGTGTACTCAGTTCAACCGATCTAAATTTGGATTAAGCTTGCCAGGGAGATGCGCCCAACAAAAAAAACAATTTTAGATGGATTCAGCCTTGTGACATGGGCTTGCGCGGAGTCATTCTACGTCTATCAGCTGATGACCTTGAGCGGCCTGGTTCTCAGGGGTTTGAAGGACGTTTCCCCAAAGCTTTGCCTGCCTCCAGATCCTGCAATTCTGCCTGAGACGATGCAATCAGCAAGCTTTGCGTGGATGCCCTACGAACCCCCAGGGTTGGCGACTTTTGAGCCGAACCTGTTTACTTCCCACACACTCCGACTTGGCAACTCGCTCTCGGCGTGCTTCCAAGATAGCAGCTTTGTTTGACTTGCTCTGAGGTTAGAATCGTCACCGCGCATACAACATTTTGCAACCCTCAGCCAAGAGACCAACATGCTCAGGCAAATGATATCTGGTTTGAAAGTCTGCATTTCCCGGACTGGAAACTTCCCATCATCCTGCACCCTAAGCTGTCTGGAAAGTCTAGCTGCAAGTCTGATGTTAAGCACATTCCCCGCAAAACCCTTAACTCCTTGGTTGTGTTGCCAGAACTCAGGCAACCAATTCATCATCTGGTCATCCCTACGCCTTCTTTAAGAGTTGAGTAAAGGTTCCTATGATTCCTAATTGCTGCTGCCCTTCGCCCTTCGCATGCACTAAATGTATGATTGAGTGGCAGCGCAACAATTACAACCTGCTAAAATCTTCAAATGTGTCACGGTCGGACCTGCAAGCGCCAGACGGCATTCTTATCAGAAGAGACTGAAGAACGCTGAGTCAACTCCGAATCACGCTACCTCAACTTAGTATTATGCAAACTCCAAACCTGAGCCAGCTTGCGAGCGCTGACAGCGGCTGAATCCTGCCGACCCGCGGCGGGCGAAGGCCCAGCGCGAGCAGTGTTGCCATGGCCGTTAGGGGGTGGTGGCTTTTGGATCTGAGAGATAGCTGATTGCAGAGTCAACAGCGAAACTATGGAAGAACCTCCGGCTTACGTCATAGGGTCTCTGGCGTGGGCATTTATAGCCATGGTGGGGTGAGAGGAGGTGGCACCTGTATCTTACCTACCCTTTACCATTGCTTTAGGCGCAAGGCTGGGAGCCTTGCTGTCAAACTACAAAGACGTATTGACGTTCAGGCTTTAGTTCTCCTAGGGAAATGCACGTGAAAAAATGCATCCCAGGCCGTGGACCCGATAGCTTTGCTCACCACCCCCACTCCCGTGCTGCTAGGGGGATATCAACCGAATCATGCAAGGTCCTTTGCTCCCTTCGCAATCGCTCCGTTTCCAAAATGCTGGAAAGGGCTCCCGTGCCACTGACACCATACTCATTAGAAACCAAACGTCAAGGCCGCTCATGTCCTGAGCAAGGACTACCAGATGATTCCTTCAGCTATGCGAAGGCTTGCAACCAGAATTTCGGCGTCAGCAAGCAGGAGTAGTCTACCTTCTCGACCTGGGCATCAAGCTTGGACGACTGAAGCGAGGCGCAGGACCCCGAAAGGCCACTAAGTCACCAGATCACAAGATGCTCAAGTGAATTGGAGCAGTGACCTGGACTGTGCTGCGCAAACAACCTACAGCAAAGTGTCAGACTCTTTAAAAAATCCTATCGCCACATCTTGTTCGTGGCCATGTGGTATGCATAACACAGTGGTCCGAAAATGTGACCCTGAGAAATGCTGGACTGGCGGTGGGGTCCGTGTACTCGGCTGGTTGACAGAGCGCACCACTGACCCAAGCGCCGGGCCTTCTTGAAAGCTTCCAGGCCTGGCACACAAGCGCATCCAACTCATTGTCAGCCGCACAGCAGTGGAAGACAAGGCCTAATGTGTGAGATCGAGATTCTTTTCCACGGGCTTCTTGCAAACGAACTCGTTCTCAAATTCCAACTATACTATGGCACGCTGCCCGACCTTACGATCTCAAACCACACTACTTGTGTGACCATGAACTGGCTGTTGGAATGTATCCACACGAAGGACTCTCAAAGTGCTGTTTTCAGGCGTGAAAGTCACCCGAACAATTGTTGCCCGACGGTTCTCTGGTCCCTTTCTACGTGCCGCAACAGATGCAGGGGCAGGCTCAGCAAATGCATGCCAAATTATCACGTCGTTCAAAGCAACTTCGGCCTTGGGTTCTTAAGCTTGTGGCACCAGTTTAATATAGTTCTTGGCAAACATACGCCTTGGCTGCAAACATTTGCCGGACTCTCTCTAGCTTCTTTCACATGCATGCCAGCTCTGGTATGATTGCCAAAGGGTTTGGAAAACATTGTTGGACCCAAAATGGGACTTCCATGCTCTTGTCGCTATTGATGCCCTTCGAAACTTCCCGGCTATGTGTTGTGAAGGCTTTCAGACATCGGAAAGGTCTTAACGGGATTTGGGCAGGAACCTATTTGGAGCTCCATGCTGTTGCTCCGCATAAAATGCATGTGTCAAGACTTTCAGAGGCCCGATCAGATCCACATTCGGAAACATCTTCGAGCAACTTATTTCGAATCAGCCCACAAGCTCCCATAAGCCAAAAAATTCCCAACGCTCACCGCTGCCAAGCTGCTGCGCTCTCCACGATTGCGACTGCATTTGGAGCAGGTGCACCTTTGGGCATATTTATGTATCTGCCGTTGCGATAACCTTGTTGAACTCAAAACGAGTGGTTCGTGGTACCAAGTTTGGAAGCAGTGGCTTTGCGAACAAACTTTTCATTGTCAAACTTGCGCGCCCTTTTTGCGCAAACTTGTTGGGCTTGTCCGCATACCTGAGGACGCGTGCTACTCAATGATTCGCAAAAGTTGGTGCGTTCACAGCCAAATATTTGGTTGTATGGAAGCGCTAGCCTCCATACTTCCTGAACTTTTCGTCCTCCATGTAATTGTACCTTAACGGATGACGCAAATTCATGCATCGGTTTCGAAAGTTTTCCCACTGCAGATGGCGCAGGGCACTGCGTGGTTCTGCTCGGTAACAATCGCGTGAGCTTATGTACGCGCATTGGGCACAGGAGTACGACACATGCACGCTAAAACTCTTCATGCAATTCAGCCAACCGTAGGTATGTGGCGCAAGACACGTATGCAACTCATTTATGAAGCTTGTTGGGAACTCTAGAACTGTTAGGATGACAACGTAGAAAATTTGGATTATACCCACACTTAGCAAATGTATAAACACGCCTCAGACACCAAGAATTATGCGGTTATCGTGGGCCCAATTGTGGTATTTCGCACTTTCCAAACTAGCACTTGATGGCTATTATGTGCCACGCTGCTTTGACAGAAGTCCACTAGTTTGGTGCTTGAACCAGCAGCATTTGCCATGCTTTGACAAGGGAATGCAAAACATGGACACACAACGGGCTGCACCATGGAGCGTATACGTATCGGGCTTCCTCTTCCAAGACATCCAAGTGAATGATTGCAGGACAATGCTGGAGAAAAAGCGTGGTCTGTTCAGAACAAATATTAGGCATCTGCGTGCAGACATTGGCGTGGACTTCCAAGTGTGATCCGCAATGTGGTCTGGATGCTTGCAACACTAAATTCTTAACCTCTCAAACCTGAATCGCCCGCAGGATACCTTCAATAACTTTGAACACCAAGCTGAACGGCCTACATGTCAAACCCAAATCCAAAAGAAGATGGTGTAGGCCCATGAGGGGGCTCTATGCGTATAGTGGGTGCCTGGCCAGCCTCTGTGCGCAAGGTTGCTGTGGAATGTTGACCAAGCATGTGTGGGCTTTTCACCGTGCTTTGGTTCAGCCCTTTGGGGCTCTTTCATTCTTACTACTGCTACTACTACCACTACTGTTACTACCACTACTGTTACTACCACTACCACCACCACTACCACCACTATTACCACTGCTGCTGCTGCTGCTGCTACAGCTGCTGCTACTACTGCCATAACTACTACTACTACTACTACTACTTCTACTACTACTACCACCGCCGCCCTACTCGTACAACCACAGCAACCGCCACTACCACTGCCACCGCCGCTACCAAAAGAAATGCAGCTAGTACTGCTGTTACGACAACAATAAGCACTTCTACCACCACCTCTGCTGCTGCTGCTGCTGCTGTTGCCAGTACTACGACTACCTCGAGACGGCAGCAGTAAACTACGACGCTTGCTGGTCTTGCAGCGAAGGGTGGGCTTTTGGAATTGGGTGTACTGATAAGGTTGAAGTGCGAATTGGTGTTGTTTATTTTCGTTAACTCAGTGCAAAATTAGTTACCACCTTTGCCGCTACTACACACTCCAAGCCTAAACCCTAAACCAGCATGATGCCTGCTAACCGCACTCTAAAACTCTCAAATCCTGAGCCTTAAGCTCATTTTTTTGTTCTTTTGTTTTTGTTACCGTAGCCATGAACTGTATTTGTGTCCTTCTTTTTGCGATTATGGTTGTCATTATCATTAGCAGTATCAAAACCAATAATACGTTTATGATCCTTGTTGTTAGAACGATCCAGGTTCTGGAGCTGCGCTGAAAATCCTAAACTTAGGGGTTTCTAGTGCCCACAGCAAAGGACACCCATCTGTAAAGAAGATGTGGATTCCCATTAAAGCAAGTGATGGTTGGAAGATCTGTCCTTTTAGGCAAACAGAATGCCCATATGCTTCTACCTTTATTTGAGGTAAGCTGGTGCGAGGGGGCTGGGGGCGGTGCAGCTCCCTCCCCTTTGCAAAGACGATAAGGGCTTTTGAGAAGGTGGGGGAGTGCCGCGTCCCTGGATTGAAAAACGTATGATGATCTGTTGGAGATCACCGGACCACGGGAGCAGAAGACCAGGGGTCCACGCGACCCCAAGAGGACGAGAAAACCACGAGAGCACCGGATCAGAGAACCACGCCAAGGATCAGGGGACCAAAGGGTCACGTGACCAGAGGACCAGGGGATCATGAAACCGCAACCCATCCCCCAAATCCCAAGCTCCTGAAACCTTTGGATCCGGAGTCCACATCCTGGAAACAACTTCTGTTGAAATCCTCACACAACATCTTGAACACACAGGCCTTCCACGCCGTATGTAACCTGAGCACTTGAGCGAGAAAACCTCCTGGCACTACACTTGGATATACCCACATCCAAATCAAGTCCCAGCCGATGAGCCACCCCAGACCTTGATCACTTAGTGAATTGCTATTACTATCCTGATGCCTGGCAAACCCAGGGCTCCGCTGCAAACCAGGCGCTTACCGGCAGCGTAAAGCATGGCGGTGCTGTCCAGGCCAAACATTCGGTCCCAGATCTGACGTAGGGTTTTATGGTTGTGGGCCAAGAAACTTACAGATCTAGGACACACTTGAACATAAAATTGTGACTGCCTGACATGAATTCTTTCCGAAAATCCCATGAAGTGTGTTCTGAAATAATTCTGAAAAAACAATCAACTAGGATCTCGAGATAGACAAGTGCACATTCCCTTTCGCCCACAACATGAACCTCTTTGCCGCAAGCAACACATGATCCCTGCTTGTAACTTACTTTTGTGTTGGAAACATACTTCACTGGTGTGAACGGAAGGTTGATGTTCAGGATAAGGGACCAAAAGGCGTGCCTGTGCCTCTCTACATAACAGTCATACAGGAGGTTCAACATGGCCTCATCTAAGCTGCAGGGATGTGAGAAGAAAGGCTGTGGAAGCCTTAGTGTTGCATTTTGGCGATTCAGTATCCGAAGTGTTTCTGAAACTTCGCAAATCACCATTACTTCGCACCCAGGTCTCCAGACAGTCTGCAAACCAAAACCTGCAACTTCGAACCTAAAGCTTGATATTCTGAACCCTGATTGCTGGCCACACCTAGACTTCAAGCTTGTCAATCTGAAGCCGATTTTCATCAAAAGCTTGGCTCTTGTCCGACTGCTACAAGCACTTTTATCGCGGACACCAACAAAATTCCTGAAGTGTTCGACTCCGTGCTTGTACTCGGAGGTCTGGTGTGTAACAGCTGTTGGGATCTCACCGCCTCATTGAATTCATCGTTCAGACCTCTCTATGAACAACGTTGTAGTGTTGCGATAATGCTAGGATGAGCAATTCAAGTTATCGGCAATGCCGTGCAAGCCTTCTCTTCAATTTTGCATTGGGGTTCCACGCTAGGCGGTAGGTACCTTTTACGATCAACCTTCCTTGAGAAAGTCAGATTGCGTTTTGCAGTAGCTGTAGAGGTCTGGCTCTTTCAGTGGAGATTGCGGTGGGCAATCTTGAGCTGGTCCCACTGCGAAGTCGGAGCAAGATGCGCTTCTTGGCAACTCCAAGCTGATACCAGCAAACAGTGAAGTGAAAGCCCTCAATCATACAGAAGCTTCCATTTTGTCCATTCCCTGCAAACTACCATTACCCACAGGGTCCATGTAGCTATATGGTATATACTTGGGCGTTAAAGTAGCTATACGGGAACCCCTTTGGGCCCCAAGCATATACCATATACCTACATGGACCCTTTGGGTTAAGGAAACCTCCAGGTCAAATCCACAGCTTTAGTCAGGGCTTGCCTTCACGAAGAAGCCGGTGTGGTATGGCTTGCCCACCTGAGAAGTTGGAAGCTGAGAGGCAATTACCAGAAGAGGCTGTGTACCATAATATACCATAACATAGGATATTTTTTTGTACTATAATATACCCATAATATACAATAATATATTATAACGAATTGTGCCACTCTGCTCTCTTCCTAGAAGTCATGTGCCAGACTCCCCTCCAACACCCTCAACCCGGACTACCCTCAGCTACGCTTCAGTCAGGCAATCAACCAATCAATCAATAACGTGTTTTGGGATGGAGAATTTCGCCATTGATGAACTGCATGCCCCCCAAACGACTTTGCAGACATGACTGCGGTAATTCTCTGTATCTCAACTTAAGACAACTCTGCTGGCAAACCAATAGCATCCCAACTAAGATTGCGGGTTTTCTGTTCCCGATGAAGCTATTTCAGTTGAAGAAGGGAGCTCCAGGTTAATGGGATCTTAGTTCCGAGTTGAGGCCTTCCCTGATGAAGCGATGAAGCGGAATGCTTCGCAAGATTTTCATCCTTGGATATTCCCAAAGTTAGGATACGGTATTCCCGAAGCCCTAGTCTGACCTTCCTAGATGCAGATTTGAAACAGGAGCCCATTCTACGTTAGAGACAATACTTGCAATATGAACCATCATCTGCCAGCAGCAACCTTTGAGCAGAAGAGAATACGACTCACTTGAGCAGCGTTTTTTCATGATTGCTCCATATCCGGGATTGTGGGATCCACAAAACTACTACTGCTCATATGAGCTATAATCTAAACTCCTAGTATCCCCTGAATCACCCCCTAGTAGTCCCCTAGATGATCCCCTATACAACCCCCTTTAAGGAGTTTAGACTATGGTACATATAGCATCCCAGTAGCAGCGCCCTCGGCATGGTGCAGGTAGTGCTGGAAAGACGTGTTGATGATCCTGGGCCAGGTACTGTCTATGAACTAAACCTGTCCCTAACCCTCACAATCTCAATCCCCCAAGCTTCGCAACGACTGTATTGATTCCAGGTCATGCCGTAGATGCCCAGTAACCTAAGTGTAATGGACTACTACCATCCGCATGTTTCTGGGCAATTCCGCTGATGCAGGATTTTCAGTTTGGATGCTGGCCGGCATACACAGTCTGTGTCGAGGTGTTCAGCTACCATGAGCTGGCAGAGTTAATGTAAGGAATTGCTTGAGCAATGACACCCTACCCTGGTTGATTTTGCTTAGAGGATGGAGAGCCTGTCTGCTGACAGGTTGGCAGCCACCCTCAAGGCTCGTGTTTGCAGCTCAGGCTAGAATTTTGAAGTCAAGAGGCACATTCATGGTTTTGAGTGCTTGTGACGACTCGGGATTTCGCGCCGCGGAAAACACAGCAACATGACGGAACCTTCGCAATGAAGACTTAAACGCAAGATGCAGCACACAAGTTTCGCACGGTCGGATGGAGGATCAAGCATGCACCTCCACAGCCAAGTGCTCTGCATGAGGTTACTGGAGACCATTGAGGCAATCTTTCCGAGGACTTTCTGACTGCTTGCAGTCATTGTAGTTTGCTGTAGAATGTAACAGTAATTGGACGAGGGAGGAGGAGCAGATGGTAGTGCAGGTAGTTATAATAGACTCAGTATGCTATATTTCGCAATTGAAACGCTGAGGCAGCGGCGGATGATGCGCATCTGGCCAAGCAAGCTCGTAGCCTCTGTTTGTGACTGCTGTAAAGAAATCAAAAGCTTTTGTCAAAATTACATGCGCGTTTCCTCAAGCAGGACCTGAAAAGAGGGGCCTTTCACAATTTTCTTTCCAAAGATCACAATGTGATGAAGGTCAGGGGTCCTCAAAGCAGGACCATGATTTTGGAATCGGCCAAATGCTTGTGGGACTGAAGCTTCAGGGATAGCAGCCTAATTGAGGGCCTGAACTTCAGGACTCTGTGTTCAGCAGGTATCTCGTGAGTTTGACTTTTCTCACTTCTAGGAGCAAGTAGATGCAAGAACTTAGGTGTATCAAGCAAGGCTCGATGCAAACACATGCAAGTTTTTAGCCGCAGGTGCCTAAGGCTTTCAGCGTTTTCTTTTTTGTGGACTTATCTCCATAAGCAGTCGACTATTAGACTGAAATCATGCATCGCCATTTAGGAAGCTTGCAGCTTTTGGGAAGTCAGGACGTGGATACTCTGCGCCAAGTGGACTCGGGTCCTGCCTGGCCCAAATTAACATGGAACTCACATAGGCTCCATTTTCAGGTTCCATGTTAGTTTGGGCCGGAGATCTCTTTTTTTGGGGGGCATTGACTTGCTGGCACCAACGCCTCTAAACCCTATTTTAAACCCTAGATAGCAGTTTCCATTTCATTTTCCATTACAACAATATAACATAACCCCAATATTCCACTTGGGATTGGGGTCAAGATGCCAACTCCCTCTTGGAGCCCTTGACTTCCCTTGCGGCACTGAGCAAGGACGGCACCGGAGTGAAGGTAGACGCCATATGCGTAGAACATGACGGCAAACATACCTTGGCAGAGCTATCGCCGTGTGTCGGCAGTCTTTGACACCAATGATAGGGACACTCATAGGAGTCTGGGAGGACTTCTGCAGGAGTCCATATTCAAGTGGCGACAAAACAACTCTAATGACCTAATATCGAGGTGCACCGTCAAAGCTAGTAAAGGATGCGGGCGCTGTCAGTTCATCTTGCCTGTGGTCCAGAGCTGAGCCTAGGTCATATTGGTTCAACGCCTGAAAGGATCAACCTTTATCGCTTTTGAGTTCTGTTGGATTTTGACAAGCACACATGAAAGTCCATTTGCTAGAGTGCCCATGTACATCTCGAATACGAAGAGCTGGAACAACGTTGGAGCGTGTTCACGAGGCATGAGCATAAAGTCTCGAGCTGAGATAGCTTCTGACCTAGTACTTTTTGCAGGCAAGGTACCAAAGAGAACGTCCATGTTGATCGGCAGGAAAATCTTGGCTGTGTTGGTTGGCACAGACATTGGAGTTTATCAAAATCGTGGATCGCCTGCTAGGGCCCTAAGAATTAGGACAATGACTATGTCATGTTGGAATGTGTTGGACGGCCCTCAGGTTTTCAGCTGTAGCAACCTGTCTAACAGAAGACCTCCGGTGTGGACTGAACCTGAATCTCAAAAGTCACAGCCTCGGTAAACGGGCGCCTCAGAACTTGGTCTGTCAATCTTTGATGCTTGCAGAACTCGACTTCGATTGCAAAGTAATTTCGATGTAAGCTGCCGTCTGGTACAACTCCAATCCTTGCTGAGGGTGTTGGCTTGGGAGCACCATCCTACTGCATAAGCATCCCGTCGCTTCAGCTCCACAATGCTTGCTGCCGCTCAACAATGAGCATCTGCAACATTGTGACTGGCCTTCTTTCCAAGAATATTCGCGGAAAAACCATTGCATGACACCCAGCGCAGAGGTCGGAAGAGGTGACTTGCCTTTTTGAGCATGTGTAAACGACTCAATGTAGAACAGCTTCTTGAGTTTGTGGACCACTGCTTTCCACGCCCGGGTCAACAACTTGTGTAGCTAGGGGGTGCTTCGAACACACAAATTAAAAAACATGCCAAGGAGGAGGGTCCTCTTCTGCAGCATGACATGTGCATACAGCAAAAACTCAAACCAAGCATGAGACCTTCCCGTTGAGCGTACAAGTGTGCCCACCGCGACCACGTGCAGATTCTGCGAAAGCGAGCCTTAAGCCTGCCATTTAGAAACTGCAATTCATGCCCCGCAACCGACAGCAGCATGGGGGCTGTTCGCATCAGCTGGTCCACTGCTTCGTCAGCAATGACCTCTAGTGGCGGCTCAAGTGCAGCTCTGACAGGCAGTTCCACTAGCTTGAATGAACAACCTCAAAAGGTCTGCAAAGCTGAGATGCTGCAGCTGCTGCCGCTGTTGCTAATTACTATCACTATTACTGTGGGTGGAAGAAACTTGCACCATTCTAAATAACCCAATAACTGTAATTACAATACTTGGGGCTCCTAAGTGGTGCAAGATATTGCATCCACCGTGCTACTCCTGCACTCCTACTGCTACTGCGACTTCCGCTACTATTGCGTCGTGCTGCTGCTGCTGCTGCCGCTGCGCTTGGTGTTTTTTTTCTTTTTTAACTTTTGCAAGCTGCGGTTGCAATGCGACGATTGCTGCTTGGATTTCAGCGTGTTTGCAAACGTAGATCGTGCGCTGGCAATCTTCTCTTGTCGCGAAGCGTTTTGCCTGTTGCTGAGACAACTCTGCTTCGGACGTGATGTTCAGCACTGCAAGCTTCCCTGAAAGCTACCTTCATCGAGTTGCGACGTGAGGACTTTTTTGGGGCCTGGCAAAGGATCAAAAGCCAAGCAAGAAACGTAACAAGACCATGACATATGTCTCTGCATGTCATAGTTGGATTTGGACGAACCTGCCGCTGGTGCCTGATGAGGGGTCGCTTGTACTCCGGAAAGCTTCTTCAAGTTCTGCATCTGTGAGGATCGGATCACAGGTTCTTCCCCCGGCAGAGGAAGACTGAGGGACAAGCCGAGAACGGAGTCGGATTGAAGAACCTCCGCAATCAGACTACTTCAGGGTCATCTATGGTTTGTGGGAGATGTTTCGTGTATCTTGTTCTGCGAAACGTGTAGCAGAACAAAACCTCTGTGGAAGTGCACATTCGCAATTGTAGCAGGCCATGCTTTTAGGGTGAACTTACATGAAGCAATGTCCTGAAGCACTCTGGAACACGACTCTGCGCGAAAGAATGGCGCCCGAGCCATATACGGTACTGCAAACGTGCAAACGTTTTGTTGTTCCTTCGCCGTCGCTGAGTCGGAGATGGAGAAAGCTTGAAAGCTGTAAGCTCCAAAGCAGGACGGCCGGACGAGAAGGTTGTAAAGTGCAGAACGCTGAAACCGGGTCTTGCCATACGCGCAGCTTGGAACGTAGCTCCAAACCGTTTGCATTGGACATGCTCACAGGACAGCGTAGTGCATTGCATTCTTGGCAATTTGTCCTAGGCTGTGAAAGCGTAAAACTTAGAAGGTGAAAAGCATAGCTGATACAACAGCAGGACCGCAACAACCTCAACCATCGTGTCCTGTTACAATCATAGTGTTCTAAATCCAAAGCCCTGCAAAAACAACACCGATCTATCCAGCCTGTGGTGGCTCTTGTGCTGCTTCCACATGGATGGAACCTGTGCAAAGTTGTTCTGCTAGCATCCTCCAACACCACCAGGGGATACCGGAGCAAATGCCCCAGCTTGAAGGGTTCCTTCACAACTCTAAGCCGGACATCCGTACACCTTGAACCCTGATCAGGACCCCTCGCCCCGTGGACCGTGGACAGGTGGACATGAAGGCACGGTAGCAACATGATTTTCTAAAAGTAAGCCTGGACTGTAAGCTTCCTTCGTTTTGAAAGTCTAAGCCCTTGAGCTGCATGCAGCTCAACGCCTTCGCTCTGAACCTGGCCAGGTACATTAGTGAAAATGCCCCCAAAGCCAAGGTTGTTTTCAGGCCTAGATAGTAAAGACTGGTTTACCTGAGGCTCCCAGGTAGTGACCCTGGTCATGCCAGGGAGTTGGTCGCAAGACCTAAATGCAGAAGCCATGGGGCGTCAAGTTGCTTGTGCCCTTTTGAGGTTCTTCTGCGTCCAGTACGGCTGCACGGGTAAGAACATCCGAAAGACTAAGCAACTGGAGCAATTCCTCAAAGTGTGCCGCACGATGACCTGAAATAGTCTCTGGGCGGAGGGTTATAGGTCCGCACGTACCCTGCTCTTAGCTTGCAGCACCACATCTTCGAAGTAGTGCTAGTGTAACCTAGGGCATCTGTAAGGATAATTCTTCCACTCACGACTCACTCTAATGAAGCTTCTCCAAGCCAGCTCCAAGTCCAATTTCCAAGACCCTGCTCTCGGAGTGAGGCGGCAGCATCAAGACGAGCGGAAACCAGGGTTGGGCCGGGGAAATGTTTAAACATTTCCACCCTGAACCTGCTCAGTGTCTAGACGCTACAAACCATTTAAATGTTTAAACGTCTAAACTCTATAAACCGTTTACATCACGAGGACCAACGATCATTGGGTGACTCCCCTAAACATATAGTGCACTATGTGATGGATAGTGCTACGTTTAAACCGTTTAAACTTGGACCATGGGCTCCGTTTAAACGTTTAAACGGTTTAAAGCACGAGGACCAAGGATCTCCCAGGGCCTCCCAGGCCTCCCAGGGCCTTCATTGGGGTTCCTAAAGTATTGCAGTTTCCAATATATGGGGTATATGGATTGGTGCAAAATTCTTCCACCCGCCGTTGTGCTGCCATTCTGACATCTTGGGAGTTCAAGTACCTACTGGTCCTGGCAAATACTGGCCTGCTACTTCAGAATAGTAAGATGCTCACGAGGGGTAAACCAGTCTTCCCTGTGGAGCCCAGACTGCGAAGCGCACAAAATTTGAAGATGAACCACTGAAACCTCTTCGCAAAGGCCTAGAACCCAATAAACCCAAAAGCACCCAATATACCCCGTTAACTCAATATACCTCCATATGCCCCAAACATAATCATACATTAGGGCCTCAAGACGGTGGATGTTGCGGCGTCCCTTCTGCTCGAAATCTTTAAACCTGTGCTACCCAGAAATTGTTTAAATCGTTTAAACGCGTGCTACCCAGAACATGTTTAAACGATTGAAAGGTATCCCAGCAGGCAATTGTTTACACATTGTTTAAACGATAATTCAACAAGAAATGTTTGGTGTTCAGTGACGATAGTTCAAGACCCTTCAGGCAGGCAATACGTTTAAGAAGAAGAGTAGCAACAGCACGAAACAAAGCCATTATCATGACGGCAGGACCACCTCGACCCTTAAGACAGCTTCAGTAGCCTCATGCCCGAGCAGGTGGTATAACCACCTCAGCAGTTGCTTTTTCGATGAAGATTATCTCAAGACTCCTCAGCGCAAATCCAAGGATCCTGGAGCAGAGAAATGATGCCCCCGCTAAGCACGGTGCCTTCGAAACACCAAAAGCCCGCCACATCCGTCTACTTCGGTACCCGTAGCCCCTATAAAACTACCCCCTTGAGCTGCAGCAAGAGACTCTGAGACGTCTCTAGACCGAGCCCTCTGCTCGAAGAAGTCGATGCCCACCAGCAGGCAAGCTGCGCATCCAAGGTGCCACCAAATGGACCTTGAAAGGGTTTCCAAGGTTCTGCATTTAGGGCTTGTCATTTCTTACGCTTCTACTGCTGAGGACGCCCGAACTACGGTACTTCCCGAGGGTAAAGGTTCTTATTCAGGCAAATGCCATCGACGGACCCCTCGCCAACCCCATGACTCAACTAGCAGTTGTGATGCTTTCTCAAGTTTAGTGCTGGTCTGCCACCTAAAGGACCGAGCTAACGCCTGCAGCAAGTATGAGAAGACAGTAGCTTTCGCGATTACCGGCCAAGTAACACTTGCAAGGTGATCAATTACTGCAGACTCAAAAAAACAAACCAATGACTTGTGTGCGTCTGTAATGAGGTCTGCTAGCACTCAGAGGGGAACTCCTGCCTAGACCCATTAGAAAACCCGACTACCTAAGCGCTTAGTACCAAGTGCCGAAGCCCATGAAGGCATCAAGTCTTGCACGGCCATGTGGACATGCTTGCGGCGTTCAATGTAGAATCTGAAGGTTGGGAACGCTGATGGCACGTGCCTCGCCACAGCTCATGCGGGATCCTGAACAAGCTCGCGAAATCTCCAATGCATCCCCTCACAACCCTCATAAAGTTTATAGTGCAACATACCTACAAACCCTGCTATAATTAATTCCCCACTATACTTGACCGCAATGATATCCGCCTGCCCCCAGCAGAAGGTTCGTGCCACCAAAGTTTCGATTTCATGTTTTACTTTGCATTTGATTCTCTATTATCGGGGTAATGTCCCTACAGACCCTAAACCCTAAAAGCTAGAAATCTGTCCATATATTTTCATAATCCTGATATACCCATAAGCTGTTACCCTAGGTCTCCCATGGAAGTCAGAAGCGATGTAACCCTGAACCAAACCCTAATGTGTCGTTAAAACCCTGGCCCACCTTCCGCCCCATCCGCAAAAGGCCTGGCTCTTGCCCTGCCAGGGAGGGTACTTCGATCGGGTTCATGAAGATTCTCTGGGATCTTGTACAGTTATCGTGGGGTTTCTCTAGGGATACATTGGGATGTATATAGGGCTCAGGGATTCGGGGAATTCCTGTACATCACGAGGTCTCAAGTTTAAGCAAATGAGACCGTCCAAACAACAGCTGAGATTGCATCAAGTCAGGACATTCACTTCACCACTACTGTAGAGAGACATTTCCAATGGCCGTAGGCGCAGGCAACCTCGGACTCAGCCCCAAACAGGGGGCCATGTGAGTGTTGCCCTGATTTTTTTCGCGCGGGGCTTCTTACCAGTAGTTGAGATCTTGATCTGGGATCTCAGTTCTTTTGGGGCGCACTCAAGGAACAACTGTTTTGAGACGCAATCATCTCAAGCTCGCGGCTTTGACAAAAAATGCCACGCTTCTTACCATGAGTGGCAAATAACCATACCAGGATTTGCTCTTCCAACTACATGATCTACCCGTTGCAGAAATGTGCCCAAGCAAACCCCATGAACTTGCGGATCACTGGCTTCTCCCAGCATCTCCTGAGTCCCACAGCAAAGACCTCGCTCAACCCAAAAATGCAAAGCGAAACCCGCAATCAAGGCTCTGAACCAAACTGGACTATGATGTGCAATGGGAGCCTAGAAGCCCTCCAGTAATTACTGCCTAGCTTCTGCAACTGAGTATTGTCGCTTCGGACAATGTGTTTTTCAATGCTTATAGCCCTAAAGCCTAGACCCCGGGCCGCAAAGTCTAGACACCAAGCCTCAGTCCACAAACCAAAACCTCATCAAGCAATTGTCTCAAGCGCTGCACCTCCCATGATAGGTCCTAAGCTGCAAGCCCTAAACAAATGCCTCGGCAGCCAAGTACAAGGACAAGGCCGGCAACATCGTGGAGAGGGAGATGCACTTGATGGTCAAGAGAATCTGAAGCATGCGTGAAGCTTAGTATACAGCATCTTTGGACTGAGTTTTTGAGGCACAGGGCGCCAGGACTCAGGGTAGTTCAACGTGATCATGGTAGTCATTACAACCACGATGGCAATCCCAGAAATGACTAAAACACCCGAGCAGACAATGGCAGCACTGACATTGTTTGAACAATTTCGGAGGAAGTCATACGTACTGCTTGTCAGGCGGCCTATGCGTTCATAAAGCAAGGACAAATTTCCAATCACACCTTGACAAAGCATCGTTTGAGGCTTTTCAATGCTTGCCTCAGTTTCATGGGTAGCCTTCGCCAAGGTCGGTTGCAGGTGCAACTGCAAATCTGAACATCCCAACCGTTTCTTGTCTGTTTCGGCATTTCTCTCGGCAATCGCCCCTGGTTTGCACCAATTGCCTTGGGATTCCTTGTGGGCAGAGTGGCAAACTCTACATATGGTAGTTTCCCTAAATAGGAGGACCCCAATATAGACCCCAAAATACTGTAGTCCTTATTATGGGGACCTCCAAAATGGTACCCAATCCGCAAAGCAGGGCTCTCTCACAGTCCCCGTACGTCGTAGGGTCCCCAAGGGCCCCCCAAGGCTGAGAAACCCCCATATCCTGAAACGTCTCCCATGCTCAGTTTGCTGATTGAGCTGCGCTTTTCGAAGCCCTGCATAAAAAGTCCTTTCCTAGCATCCCTCAAGACATCTCTCCACAAACCCTGCGCAAGTACCTCACATCATCTCAAAAGTACCGTCTGCACGGCTAAGTTAAACCAAAGACCTTGCTGTGCCATGGTTTTCCTGCAAGAAGGGCTATGCACACTTCACGTATGATCCTAAACCACGTTGTGATCCGCATTGGAGTGGCTTAATGTGAGCTCGGTTCTGCCTCCGTTCGCACGTGCTCAGGCTTCGGGAACTTCGGGTTGCACTTGTACTTCCAAATGTCGTAGCTAGGATTCCTGCGGTCCCGCGCTTCAGGAGTTCAGGTACAGGTATTAACCATTCTGGCTTACGAATGCTCTAGGAGTTTAGACGAAAGGCTCACCCCGAAAGAGGGCTTCGAAGGCTGTTCAGGGTAAAACCTGCTGTGCGTCGGGATCCTTTCAACACATAGGGCATAGGATAGGCAAGCTGACCACAAGACCAAGTTCGGAATGTTTTGGCCAAGCTTGGAGACTAAGACGATCATAGAGATCATGTCGGGTCTGAGTTGATAGCTCAGGGTGCTCTTCAAAGCGACCCAAGGATATGGGCCAATGATGAGGCTCTTGGCTCCGGCAGGGATCTGAGCACTGAACCTTTTCTTGGGAACATAACTTCGTCCTGTTGATGCAGGACTGCAAAACCAAGAGCCACCTGCATCCCCGAGCAAGGATACCTCCGAAAATCGTCCGCTAGGGCCGCTCAAAATTCATTGTTGCGCTCGCCAGCATTTGTATTCAACGTGCTGGCTGCAACCTTTCCGGAATCAAAGCTGAAGCGCCCTTCTTCAAAATAACAACCTTGGCAGTTGACCGTGAATGCTGTGCTTCATGAGCCATGTCTCAGGTCCAGAGGGTTTTGAAAGTAAGCGGTGGGAGTAGACCGGACACTGCAGCAACAAGAATATCATAATCATCATCAACACCACTGTGCCTACTGCCCTGGATGCAGCAGCAGTCCAGTACAGCTTGGCAAAGGCCAGTGCGGACATGGACAGGCATGACGTGAGACCAAGCACGGTGAGGATGACCCACATACCTTAGTCAATCGGCTCTTTTGGTTGAGTTTATCACGCATATGGCCCCTCAAAAACCGGGGAAGGCAGAACTCTGTTGCCTCTTGCATCCTATCATCCCATGAGAAGTACTCATGTGAGCGGAGCAGCATGTGCAGTTCCACACCAGACCCCTACACAGCCCTGTAGTGGAAACCCTCATCCGGAGAAAGATCTCACGTCCAAACAGAGACTAATTTTGCTTGAGCTTCACTGTTGAGCTTATAAGGCTATGGGGCTGAGGATTTGCTAAATCCCTCTGCTGATGATTCCATGAGCCTATCCCGAAAATTTGGGGCAATGACTTGATCGTCTTGCAATTGCAGTAGGTCTTCTTCATACACGTATCATCTAGTGTCCCCATGAGGTCGGGCATGAATTCTATAAGTGCAGCCGCCCCACCCGAAGCTTTTGATACGCATATGCAGCCAAGCAATTTCAACAGCCCTATGCCAATGCCATCCCTCTCTCTGCAAGGAACCCAATCATTTGCGTAAAGCAAGTACATCCTCAACCCAAACCCTCCCTCCTCTCGTCCCTTCGAAATACGTGAGCCCCAGACCTGAACTCCCAAACTTATTTAACTCCAAAACCCACATTCCGTCCACCGCAGCTCAAAGCCTAGAATCCTGAACCCCGGAGGATTCCTAAGGCCCTGCAGCCTCAAATCACACAAAACATCAAAATACCGAACATGAGCATCGAGGTGCCAAACAGGTTGGTGCCAAATGCAGAGGCGGCCTCGCAGATCATTGCAAGGACCTCAGGATATGAGGATTTCTCAGAATAGTGGGGGGTATCGTCAGGGATCCTGGAAGTAATATGGGGATTGCAAAGGCATGACGGGGTCGTTGTTAAGACTGCCATAGCCGTTCACATATCTTTGCAAGCCAAGGGTCCTTCAAGGAGCTCAGGTTCTTGTTTGTAACATTCAAACAGCCGCTAGGCGTCTTGTGAATACAGCCTTTTCATGCACGCTTGGGCTGAGGGACCCAGGATTTCAAAGGCCCGAATCTGGCAGGGCCCTCCTGGAGCAGTTTGAACATGAGTTTAGACATCTGTTTCCAAGGCTCCCTGTTCTATAACCCGATTTTTCACAGTTATGGGACTAGAAGGACCCCCCCCTCACACCACAAACATCTGACAATGTTGAGGAACACGCGTAGGGCAGCACCTCTGCCAGATTGCCTGATGAACATACCGATAGTCATTCACGAGCAGTGTTTCCTATGACACAGATGAAAGGCCTGACCAAACGAAACACGTTTTGAGGCAGCCAAGGCATAGCCAAGTCCGACTCATGTTCCAGTGCCTATGTAAAACTCAGATAAGCCAACCCATGGATTTCTTAGGAGTCTTGTTGCTGAGATGCCTCTGAGAAGTTTCTCGCCAAGTGAAGTCTCGCGCTCTTGCTGAAAAGGGCTTCCCGCAAGGGCCTAGAACCCTTGGTCAACTGTTTAGGCGATTTAATGTTGGGTAGATAATCATGAAATCTGCGAGTTTCGACTCCAGTTCGCAGACTCTGGGTTCAAGGAGGAGTCTATAGAAGTTCATGGTGGAAAGCTGAAGCAGCCGAACGCGTCGTGTTCAGAAGCGCTCGTAAGGATCCGTAAATCAAGTGCCTTGCCCCCGATGACTCTTTTACACAGATAGGGGCACCTCAACATCAAGTCTCACCTGGATTGCTTCTTGAATAGTAGACGGGAGCAGGAGACCATACTGTCCCATAATCCCCTGGGAGTGCTGCACTTCATGTTAAAATCATTTGCGACGAACTGCCTTCTTCCTCGCACTCAGCAAGTGCAGAAGAAATTGCCTGCCAAACCCGGAGCAAGACATCGTAGACCCTTCTTGTCACGGCCAAGATCTGCACCGAGCAGCAATGGAAGCTGCGACAAGGAAAACAAAGCGATGGGCAGTCCAACCCTCCACAACAACAGATCTTTGAGCCGAGGAAAAGTGAGCAAGGCTGAAACGTCACCAATTGTAGCGGATAGGAAGAATTCCCCCATTCGGAGGCGTTGGCATCCTGAATGAAATGTGATCTTGCGCTCAGCAGGAACTATCTATAGTCTATCGCTTGTGCACTGCTCATCCACTGATAGATCCTCCGCATCATCTCATGTCCCTGAACCCCTAATATGCTGAACCTGCCCTGCATCAACCTCTTATCCTGAACCCCAACCATTTCGACCCTGAACCCTTGCATCCTAATCCTTAAGCCCTGAAACCCTGAAGTGCATGGCTTTTTCTCCCACTTTGCAGCTACGCGCTCTTTGGCCGCGGGCTGCGCAGCGAAACGAGCAGGTGCAAAAAGCCGGCCTCCAGGATTGGGCATACTATGGATACTCAAAAAAGGTTTCTGTGTGTACTCTATATAATCATATATGTGCTATATAGGGATAATGTAGAATCAAATGGACCATGACATGGAAACTACTATATAAATGTATAGGGGGATAAGAAATCCCTCTAGTTTCCATTTTCTTTTCCATTATCCCAGTGTTACCTCAATATACTATATAAAATACTATTTTACCCTATAAAAAACCCCTATTGCAGGTCTTGAGTTCAACTCGCTTAGGATCTAGTTTAGGATTTCCGGGGCTTAAGTTGTAGAGGACCTAGAGCTGATGCGTAGACCAAGGTCAAAGGCATAGGAAGACGGTTCAGAGACCAGGCTTTGGGGAGAAGCTTTGGGAGTCATAGATCGCCTGGAGTGTTTCAAGAATCAAGAGATGTCCTGATGGCGGAGTTCGAGTTCAGTTGCAGGGTACATAGGTGTAGTGGCATTTCCAATGCTGAAGGCTTTTCTTGAGGCATGCCGCCTTGATGTCCACGCGTGTTTCGCTCCCAGCATTCATAAGTGCCACGCGACAAAATGTTTCATACACATCTGTGGCTTTCGGCATGCCAGTACGGTCGGAAAAGAGGAGAGAGCAGAGCAGGTCAGCTGCAAATGCAAAGTCTAAACACGAACCAGGCCAGAATCTCCAAACTCTGAGATCCAAAATTATACCACTTGAGTGTTTCGTATGGTTATCTTCAACCCTCGATGCTTTCAGTCTCTTTCAGCAGTGCCTATTGCAGAGAGAGTGTGAACTGGCCCGGAATCTGGAGGGAACTCCTCGTACAGGTCCTGTACCAGAATTCCCAAAGAGTAACTTCAGTCTCCAACCCGTAGAAGGGAAACAGATAAGATCCACAAATCCCAGACTGCAAACCCTCCCACACCCTGAAGTTACAACATCCTAGAACATTCAACACCAATGCTCTGGCCACTCTGTGAGACAGTTGCTCTTCTGAATAGGAAGGAGTATTGCATAACCAGCCTGCACGGTCAGCGAAGCCTTGGAAACTATGGGTTGCTGGTTGAGGTTCAACCGCTCTTAGGGTGATGCACTTTCTCGGGATGCGATTGTTGTACCTGGGGTGGGTGGAAAGGGCGTATTGCTTGGCTGGATTGAGCTTTTTCAATCGTCCACTCCGGAATTTTCCATTCTGGGGGCACGCCGGCGTGGATGATTGCATCCCGCACGATGGGGTTGTGTCGAAATGATGGAAACAACAATAATGCTGCCCCAAAGACCTCAACCGGAAACATTCAGTAGGACTCCCTCAACACTGGAACCTCTAACACCCCAACAGTCCGAGAATGCCATCTATTAATTATGAAGGTGTTTACCCCATCCAACACGCAAGCTCGGCAGTCACCCAACAACTAAGCACGGAATAAACGAATTCTCTATGGAGATGAGCATCGTGATCAACCTTGCGATTTCTTCATTTTCGGAAATTTTTCTCGTCATCTTGTCGCCGTTGCAGCTGATGGCCGCTACGATCATTTCTTTCATTTCCAAATCAACATGTGTAGGGTCCTGCGGATCCAGAGAAGGGCACAATTCAAAGAACACGTGCAAGCTTACTTGTCTCAAAGCTCTACCCCAAGTTCGGCACCTTAAGCCATATGGGCCGCCCCACAAGCAAATCCCCTGTGCCGCCAAGCTGCTGCGAGGGCCGCCAACAGCAAAAGCGTGGCCCAGGCGCGGCAAGTGGCTCCAGCCACGAGTGGAAGTCGCTCCTAAGCTATAAGGTTTATATAGGGATTTCATTGTAGGGAGACGATATAGGGTTTAGGGACATAATCACCAATTGGGCTATACAATTCCATGGAAACTACTATTTAGGGTTTCGGGACGTTGTACAGGGTTGATATAGGGATTATATGGGGATAACATAGGGCTCTAGGGATATCAATGGCAAATGGAAAACCAAGTTGAAACTACCATATTAACATGACAAATATATGTAAATATACATATATGACATATGGGTTGTAGAGCGGGTAGTATGGGGACATTACCTCCCTCCCGCCCATATTGGAGAATCAAATGGAAAAGAACATGGAGAATGAAATGGAAACTGGTGTAGGGCTTACTGAGTCAGAACATGTTGCTTACTCAGAAATGAAGGAAAGGATCCCTTCAGCAATCCCTTCATATCCCTTCATAGCCACAGAAAGAAGGAGCTAATAGAACTGTTCATGGACAAAATGCTCCTGTATGTTGAGAACCACACAGAGTAGCCCTCGGAAAGTGCTCTCTGAATGCGGCGCTCCACCAACAAAACTCCAAGCACGAAACTGCAATAGTCCGAAACACAAGTCTCAAACTCCAACCTTGCAACCCCCAGCAACAGGGCTCTAAACCCAAGAGCAGATGTGGATTTGGCCCAGGGTCTGAGGCCAAAAGAGCGGCCGATGCTGTTGAAGCTAAGGGAAAGGTAAACGCTGCCTCATTTTGTGGCTGGTCTGCAGAAAAAGCTCCGACTTGCAAAACGGTCAGCTTCTGCATGTAGAATGTTGGAGGGCATGAAGTTGTACGCCAGGTGTGTAAGTGTCCGCTCATAACAGCTCCCCCTGGCAGTTGCCAGAATCTCCTTGCGAGGTTGACGAGGTGGAAGCCAAGGGTGATGCTTTGAGCTGGAATTGCCTGTAAGACACACCTACACATGGCTAACACCCTATCGGGAAGCATGCTTGTCGAGCAACTGATGGAATACGGTCTACCGCAGCAAGCTTTCTCAAGACTTCTGTGTAGGAGACAAGTGGAACGGATGGAAACTGTCCTACTCCGCACGCGAAGTGCAGGCAAAGCCACGTAAGTTGGATGGAACGCTGGAATCCACAGCTTCCTCCTGCAGCAAGCCAAGCAGGAATCCGGAAATGAGTCCGGTAATTTCGATCGAGTTGGTGGCGCTCAGCTAAAGAAAAAGGACCCTTAGTTCTCTTTATGCAACGAATTCAACATGATATCAAGGCTAGGGGCAAACTGCGTTGTAAAGGTGCATGAAGGCTTCGCGGCCTTCGCGCTACAGTTAAAGCGCGTGCTATGGTTGCGCCGGAGGAATAGCAGTCTCAACTCGGCCACAGCAACAGAACGAACCAGTGAAAAGATGCAATGTAACATATCATCAGGACACTCATGCCAAATATTGAGCGGAGCATCAGAGAGCACATTTGAGACGAGTCCTACAAAGCCATGACGTGGAAACAGTCCAACGTGTGAGGGCGAGTGCGGACGTCACGTAGCACTTGCCTGGCTCATAATTTGCCCGGAAACTCTCAACAGTGCTTCTGGGATGGAAAAAAAATCAGTGAATTCGGTTTTTGCCCTGAATAAGGGACCTCAAAATAGACGCCCCCTCCAAATGCTACAATGTTTACCATAGAGACCCCCCCCACCCCACCGTAATGTACAATGTATGCCTCCTGCCATATTTGGAAACCGTTCCGGTAAACTACTATATAATCCAACTTTCGACTTTGTTATCCATGTTCTGTTCTATTTGATGTTCTGAAGTTGGGGGATAATATCCCCAAACTCAACACAGTAAGCCCTAAATCCTAATCCCTATATTACCCTTAGGGTCATTTTCTACGTGCAACCAATGTGTTGTCCTGGTGTAGAGCAGGAACAATGCCAAAAGGAAGCACCTGACCGTTTGTGGAATCTAGTGTGGTTGTTAGTAGGGAACTTGAATAAGGGAATAATCCCGACAAATATATATATATATATATATTGCCTATATGTTGTATTCCCTTCTTCCCTACTACTGTCCAGTAAGGGGATGTAGTGTGGGGTCCGAAAGAAGTAGAGTAGTGTTTTGTGGTATGATTGCTGGATAGCAGGAAGCACAGCATACTAGAATAAACCGGCAGTGAACGCAAAGGACAACTGGATGCGAGTCCATGGATTTTCGCTTGCCCTCAGCCTCTTGGTACAGGCATGTATCTGGGGAACACGGGCACAAGCCTACCTGCAGCGGCTTGCTGGCTCTCAGCTGGAAGTACAAATGTGTAGACTGATTCAATGACTGCAGCAGGTAATGTCTGTTGACAAGTGGCCTTAAGCCAGATGACCCCTTCGCATCGACATGTAAGTTTACCTGCCTGGATATTTTTGCAATTAAGCGGCCCCGCAGGAGGGAGCCACAGCAATCATATCTGAGCATCTAGACGGGGCTGTCGATGGATCAGCATGTACACCATTACATGAATTGGGCAGACCGGTTCTCGCGCATCTTTCAAGTCACCCGTTCTGTCAGAGCTGCGACCCGAAGCGTTCAGAGAAATCTCTAAGTTCAAAACTTAAACAAAATCAGCTAACATTCGAATGAATAGTAAGGGTCTACACCTCCAGTGAACTCCTTGTAGCTGCCAATCTGTTCGGAAGCCCACATTCCTATTGAGCCCGATTGAGGCTCGAGGGACACAGTGCTGTCGGCGAAGAGGATATAGCCGGTGAGGTCGCCACCGGGCTTGCCTACTTGTCTTGCAGTTTATGGTTTGTGGTTCAGGGTTGACATCTCGGTTTCACATGAACGGGCTGCCAGAATGAAGGATCCAATTTACCAGGCACCAGGAGCTTTCTTGCGGCTTGTTGCCGAGGTCAAGGTGAAGGGACGAGGAAGGTTCAAGCAGACGTTCCCCAAAATCTTCACTGTCCCAGATACCTTGCGGACCTAACGAGAGACAAGCATGCCAAAGGATTTATCCGTTCGCTCCCCAAAGCCACAAATCCAAAAACAGCACCAAATGATTCCCAGGCGACCAAAGCAGCGCCGGCACAAACGGGGTCTTGGATTGAAGTTTCAGCTTTTCACTCAGCCTGTAGGGCAGGGAGTCATTGAGTCACCTCCCTGCAGCTCTATCAGCTCAAGTCACTTAGGCTTTCAGGTAAACCACTCGGCTTGCTAGAGCGAACTGCGTCAATCGTCTAGGTATAGGACTCGCTGGAGTGCCATTCCTTTCTCAGGCCTAGGATACTCAAGCTGTTCATGGGAGCCCGCAAAGCCCGCAAAAATCGATCTGCCCAAACGTAAAACCCCACATGATCACGCACTAATTTTGCAAATTGATTTTGCAAGGGCTCCCGACATGCTGCAAACTTTTATGTCGCATCTTGATTGAAAGCACAAGCATGGCAAGGACCTGGGTCACCCTGCATTTTTCGAGAAACGACCAATAGGTTGCAAACATCTAACTGCATCCGCGCAACCGCTGCTCAGATGGGCCATGGTGTAGAAAGAGGCCGGCGCCTGAAAATCAGGTCTCAGGTCTCTACGGGAGCTAGAAATTCCCGTGTGGCGGTTCCCAAAACTACGCCGCACCATGTATGCCGTGTACAACTGCTCTACAAAAAGGAGCCGCTGAGCTTGGGGACCTACCATTTACGCATGTAGGAGCGTTCAGCGCATTGCGAATAACTCCACGCTCATGTAGAATAGAAATGCCGCTGTCTTTCTTGTTACATGGGGCTTCGTGGGCAAACGTAGCCCGCAGCAACTGTCGCAAACTCACCTACCTTCACCGAAAGCTCTGAAAGTTCCGGTTCCAACATGTGTGTTTCTGGATCTAATGCTTTCTGACGAATTGAACACCTGTTGTTGAAACTGCAGAGTCTCAACTCCTCTCACATATGGGGTTTCACGCCTCAGCCAAGCTGCGCTGCTGAAGGCTCAGGTAATCATGTACTTGTAATACTAAGATGAATAGTAGCGCTAATAGTATATCATGATAGGAATAATAGCAATTCTACAGTAGTAAAAGTAAATGGCACAGAACAACTATACAGCCTGAACGTGGCCTAACTGAAAAACAGCCCAAACCCTCCCCTCCCGGGCCATGAGGACGGCCATGCCAGCATTGGGCGCCACGGAGTCACGAGCTTTGGACAGGAAGAGGCCTCAGCTCCACAGCGTAGAGCAGTTGTCCATGCAATTTTCCATGCCTTTTCCTGGGAGTTCTATACCATTTTTTGGAGGCTGTATCAGGATCAAATAGGGGTGGTTTAACGTCTGGCTACTTGGCATACGTTTCCCCCTTCCAGAACTCAAAAGAAGGGACCTGGTATCATGATGCTCCAGAGGATGCTTAGAGGGACATGAAAAACCCTCTCTGAGGGTTGATGTGCTACTTCTTTGGGGTGACCTAGCAAATGAAGCATAGCCGTATGCCCTGCTACACGAGTTTGAACCGTTTCCTGAATAGCCCCAGCAAACACTAAACCAACGTATATATGTATATATATATATATACTGTATATATATATGTATATATATATACATATATATATATATGGGAATGGTGTTAGGGTAGTAAGTATTCGACGGTACAACCGGCCGATGACGATCCTGAACCTTACACCTGAAAACCCCTCCACCAATCGAGTGGCGGTAGAGCACGGTGAGCTTCAGAGGCGCATACCTTCGCTTGTAGCTTTCATCTCTGGTTATGTATCAGGGAGTGGGGAATAGCGCAGGATGTGGGGGCGAAACTACAGCAAAAAGTCCATTCCCTACTGAACACAAGGAGAGTAATTAATATAGCTGAAGAATAAATGCGTTCGTGAATATGGGTCAGGTTTCCTGGAGACAGGTTGGGCGTGAGAGTTTTTGGTGCGCTTTGCATGCCATCTGCACGACCAACCCTCCAACCCTGAGCTTTTTTTGATCTTTCGGTAGGTCTGCTTGAGCCTCAGCTTTCTAATTGCAGCAAGATCCAATCGTGGATCTACTGACCCAAGCAGCCCCCCAAATCCGAAAATCACTCAGCCCCGACCTCCAAGTCCACATCTCTCTACACAGTGATTACAAGTACTTCTAATGATCCGACGCCCAGGCGCATTGACATGGTGAACCAGAAGTGGGCGGACATGGTCGCCTGAAGCAAATCTAAAGCTGCAAGGCTGGATGGTTCTCTTCGTGGATACAATTGAGAACACAAAGAGGTAGTGGGTTTTTGTTAACCGTCCCTCCTTATGAGAGCAAACATCTCCTTTTCTCGAATTGCTGTTGTCCTTCTATGGGATACAGGACATGTTGAGGGGTCAAGCCGACGTTTCTAGCAGAAAGGGTGGACTCACAAAGGTTACAGTTACATCCCTGTACATGGAAGTTGCTCAAAGGGCACCTAGGTGGCTAATCAGGGATATATCGGAATTCCATGGGCACCTCTGCAGGGTTATCTAGCAAGGTTACCTTGAGACGCTCCCACATGCCGCTTCCTGAGACAAATCAGTGGGGCTCCTTGAGGACAGCCCAGTTCTGTCTTCCAATCTTCCAAACCAACTCACGGCTCATGGCACTCAGTGTGGTGCACGATTTCGCTTGCTCAGCAATATCATTACGATCATGGGCTGCGAGACTCTTGAAAGCACTGGTCCCAAAACCAAAATGCTACATCCAAAGATGTGCTAAGCGTAGACGAGCCAGAAGCCGCCGGACCCTCATAGCTTGCTCTGGTCTGCGTCAATTAACTACCGTCCCTTGGACTCCTGGTAAATCTGCTCCAGTTTTAGCTATTTTCGGGAACCTAGAATTATGATGCGTCTTGGCTTCTGGGCCCACATGGCATGCAACGAAAGATCAAGAAATCCCTGAACTTGACCGGGAACAACTTGAAAAGAGCGGGAGGAACCTGCAGCCAGGATGGGCCGATTGCAAAGGAGGTAATGTTTGTCATGCCGTACAGGAGGGTGCCTGCCCGCAAGGAGATGTGCATAACGGGCGTGGAGGAGGGCCGTTGTGGTTGAAGGTAGGTATAGCTGCTAAACCAATGAAGCAGCCAGACTGCAAGCTGCGGCTGGACACCTCCTTGAAGACCTGCTCATAGCCAGACCACCGTGTGTTAACGAAACGAGTTCAAACAAGCTAGGAGCACTCGCATGGGAGTTGCTGTCAGGGACCACATCTTCCACAAAGCACGAAGCAAAGGGTCTGTTGCCGCAACTCCCAAAAATGCATGCCCGCATGATTGTTGCCGCATGATTATGAGCTAAGCGGGCCAGCATTTTGATGTCAGACCAATTCATCAGTGAGCACCGCAGCGACAAGTATCCGGGTTCTGACATGACCAATCTGCGTAGTTGGCAGAAATTGCAAACGCTGGGGCCTGGATTGCGGGATACATCGAACTCCTCCTGCTGTGGGGATCACCGTCGTCAAGTTTCTTGTACGTGACTGTTCTGAGACTTGATAAGGTTCTTCAGAAAGGACCTGCATACATTCCAAGCAAGCCTACTCAATCACTTTAATCGTTTGCTACCACCAGCTTGCTATTGCATTTGGCTTGAACATCTTAAACGATTCAGAGCGAAGAAGCCTCACTCCCCAACCTTCTCCGCTCCAGGGTTCAGCCACTGCCATGCCCTTCTCAAAGCGTCTCAAAACAGCTCCCATCAATCCTGATCCTAAAGCCCGGGGGAGCTGTAGTTCATCAGCCCCCAAACTGAAACTCCACACACACTCCAAACCCAGCAAAGTCCCAATCCTAAGACATAAAAGGCCTGGGAACCAGGAGGGATCCGGAAGCTGCCGCTTCCTTGGAGCTAGGACTTCGGGGAAGAGGGTGCTGTAGGGTTGTTTTAATCTCCCAGTGCCTCAAAGTTCTGCCGTTATCCTAGACCTGGTCACATCGGTTTCTGGGTGTTGCTGACCATGCTCCGGTGGTAGTCAGCATGAATGCAAAAGCCTCTCGCTGGCTGGTGGTCCAAGCTGCATCTCCTGTATTTCCCTTCTTGATCCAGTTGCTTTTACTACCAACAGCACTACCGCCGGTACTGCTATTCTGATGCGCGGTGCCAACCACACCTTCTGGAAGAGGTGCTGGAAGTTCAGAAGCAGGAAGCGGACAGTGCAGCAGATGGCCGTAATGTGGCAGACCAGCCTTACAGGGCATCTCAAAACAATGTTGGTGACGGCGACAGTGACTGTTATTGTTGTACTTGTTTTTGGTTGCGGTTGCTGCTATTCCGAAGTAGACTGACCCTCTAAACTCTCGGACTCACCCGAGCCCAGTCGAGTCTCCAGCCCTAACTCTCAATCTCCAAAATTGCCATAGGTCCCTGCAATCTAAGGAGCACGACCAGTTGTGCCGCACTCAGGGTGATGAGCTCAGAAGTTTGGTAGAGCCGCAGCGCAAGTACCTGGTGTAGGGGTCAAGATGTTAGGTGACTATGCCAGTCCACCAAACAAGGGTTAGTTGTTCGGACCCGGGGAACATGTTGGGTCCGTAGGTGCAGGATTCCCTACAAGCATTCACTTCAGAATTGTTTTGAGCAGCTGCAAAACCGCCATAATGCCAACTAAATGAAAGAGGTTTACATGATGAAGCTGGGAAAATGCAAAGGGGTTGGATTCTATGCGTTTCTGTTTGAATCCCTCTTTGCCATTTCCTACAGACTTCGCCTTGCAAATGCCTAGGCCTAAGCTGTGGTACTTTGGAATTGGGTGCTGCGAGCAGCTTTGTTTATCAGGCTTCCTGGGAATCTAGCCGCAAGGGCGAAACAATGCTTTCCCAAGGTCACTAAGGCAGATACACATTGGTCAACTGCCTACATGAGAGTTTCCATCTAAGAAGCTAGCATGACTCCTGGTGGACCACAGTTGTGACTGATGTTGGTGCTCCTTATTAGGGTGTCTAGCAAGTAGCAAACTGCTAATCAGCCAGCAGGAAGCCTGAAATCACGGCCACACTCCCCTCCTACTTGCCATCACTACTGATGTCAACAAGCTAGGCTAGCAGCTCGCTGAAAGCAATCATGTGGGAGTTTTGGGCGAGGTGTGGATCGGTAGACTTTCGAGCTACACCTCAGCATGCCCGGGCATCTAGCAAACCATCAACTCCTTCCTGGGACGCCAAACCCAAGCAATGTTTTTCTGCCTGCAGCGCGGCTGGTGTAGCGGCGAGGGCTGACATCGTGGCCTGTTGTTGGAATGCGTGAACCGATTAGTCTGGGGCATGTGCTGCAGCTTTCCGTGGAGCAAGCCATTTTAAAGTATAGAAGCTGATGTGAGCACAAACCGTGTTGAAAAGATACCAAGATGCAACACAGGAACCCAGGAACGATCACGTTCGACTTATCGAGGGTATCTGCAAAAAACAGTGGCATAGCTGCCAAGGATACCAAAATCAACAAACATGCCTGATGTTCGAGGCCCTCTGTATGAGGAATCTCCATAGTCTGGATAGTCTCCAGAAACTTCCACCCGGCCCCTCCTGCCTTTACTCTCTAGCTTAGCAGAAGATGCCTTCATAAGCTTTTAAATGCTTCGAGCTTTGGCTCACGCAACCTGCATACCTACCAACGAGCTTCAACACCAAGCATGCTGCTCTTTCTGCATGGAAAGCAGGTTTGCATACCAATGAAAAGAACATGGAAACTACTATATTACTTGAAAGCTTCCAGCCCTTCAACCCCGCGCCGGCTCGGAAGTGTCTCGGCGGAAGGCTGCGAAGGCGAAAAGTATCTGGCAGGACTTTTTTTGATTCGGAGGCGTATGGGTGGATTTCAAGGCTATGGGGCAGGCTCTGGGATGACAGGGTTTTCGGTTTGAGGCTTCGGGGCGGTTGGTGCGGCGACTCCATGGCAGATTTGTTGGGATTTTGGAGCACGTCACATGTTCAGATGGGATGTCCTGGCCAACGATTAGCACCAAAATGACCGTTTAGAATCTCTCATAAAAGTGGCTTTTGATAGAAATGTGTATATTGAGGAAATGTCAAACCCTGCCAGCTGCACCAGTAGGATATGAGGATCCCTCACTTGTAGGCTTGAGGGTCCCAAACGGTGCAGCGATACAGCCAGAGGGGACATGACTTGAGTAACGCGCCGTAGTCTAGGCTTGGAGCTTCACCGATAATTCCATGTGCCAAACAAGCCGTCAGAGCCTTTGTGCCGTAGATGGCCAGATAGATTGCGGCCACCTCTTGTGCAGGGAGGACACGGGCATAGGCTGTTGATTGGTCTTGCTTGAGGGCTTAGTGCCAGTAAGGTCTTTGGTTCGAACCAGGTTTCATTTGGCCATGTCTGTAGAGCAGGGGACCCCTGCAGCGCTTTTCCAAATATTAAATTTCGCTGAAGAAGGACAGGGGCAACAATTCTGAGGCCTCCTTGGATGAAGCCCTACTGCTCTGTGAGTGCTGTAGGCTCGTGTCGAGCTGTGGGCTAAAGGCTTTTGAGCCCTGCCCCCGCCAGCGACAGAAACGCCGAGAGCGGCGACAGGATTGGCGTGTAGGCAGCCAGTCCTGGCTCGTTCATGCGTCATATGAGCTAGACTAAACTCCTAGTCTACACCTTGATAACCACTGTAATAGTCCCTATATAACCCCTTTAATGAGTTTAGACTATAAACTCAAATAGGCAGGAGTCTCTCAGATGAGGGGGGCCTGTAGGGATCCTGAGGATATGGGAAGTCTGGGTTATGAATCCGACAAGGGGCAGAGCAATTTAAGGAATGTCCATCTCGCTGGCAGCTATAATGACAATGACTTGAAATCAGATACGTAGTCGCAACAACGGAGGGAAAATGAGGGTGCTTCTCATGACTAGAAGCATAGCCATACAGGCAGTAGCTTTCACCAGGCTGTGCCATGTGAGAATACCTGCCGCCACTGGTTCTGAAACAACTTCATAACAAAGCCATTGTGGCAATTCTGGAGCCACAAAAGCTGTTTGGGCAGTAGAATGACCGCTGATGATGGTCTTGTACAGAGATTAGACGACCAAGATTGTGTGAGGACGCTGCAGGGAACCCAGGAGTGAGTGTGACTCTACTCAGTATATGCCCCTACATGGTAGCGCTTCCATTTCAATTTTTCAAGTTTGGCTCTCTCCCTTTTGATTTGCCCCCTAAACCCTAAAACCAGTAGGAGTTATCATGTTCTTTTCCATGCCCCCCCCCCCCATATGACCCCTACATCTGCGTAAGCCCTAACCCCTTAACCCCTTAACCCTATCTCTTTGTAATAGGAACTCTTTGATACTCAATCTTTTCCCTTTGGGAAATAAAAGTCCCAGGGAACCTCGGGCCAGCCCGACGGTGCCCAAGGCCAGAGGACACAGCTGGGGTGGAAGGCCTTGGCAAAGGGGGTGGGATGGGCAGAGACATGTATACATATGTATACATACATTTATGTATACATATATATATATACACAGTATATTTAGAACTATGTATTTATACACCTTATATATATACACCCTAGACTATATGTATCGAGGATTGTACATGTTAGGTAAAGATTTAGAGGTTTCTGAACGTTCTGGGACTTGTGAAAGTCGCTAAGGTAAGGATTCTGGTAGGGCATAAGCAGGACCCCTTTTTTCCGACGCTCCCATTTGGTGTATAGGGTGTAGCTCTGTTAATAAGGCGAGGGGCTTGGGGCTTAGAGCTCAGGGAAGTGGACAGCGCAACAGAAATGATACTAGTAGTAGTAGTAGTAGTAGTAGCAGCAGCAGTAGCAGCAGCAGCAGCAGCGGCCGCACTAGTAGGAGTAGTAAACTTTCAATTTCAGCTCTACTTGTGGCGAGGTGCAAAGGAGACCTTGCTG